ACTCAACAAACATCACAACAAGTTCAAAATCTCAGGCTATGATTAATCTTGTCCGCGAAACGTGATTATAGGATCAAAAAAATAGAAAAAGCATATTTTTGTTAATAGGTTTTCCAGATATCCTTCTGGAAAACCTTAGAGTTTTGTAAAATTTCTTTCTCTAATAAGGAGAATATAGAATAGCTTAAATACTCTATATTCTGAAGTTTTGAACTTGTTGTGATGTTTGTTGAATGAACAGTGAATTTCCCAATATTAGGTGAGAACAGTCTGAAAACCCTAATTTTTGTAAAAGTGGCTTTTCGCTAGATTTTTAAAAAGTTTTCTAAAAATAAATATTTCCACGAAACTCAGCATGGTCGATTATCCATAGTCAATCCGTCTTTAAGGCTACCAATAGTCACCGGGTGTCAGTCCTAGGACTCGTAGGAAATCCGATACAACGCCCGAACCGCGAAAAATCAAGGTCTCATTTTACTCCTGTTTTGAAGAGGACACCCCGGGCTATCAGTCCATGAAAAAAAGCAATATAATCCTATTGAAAAATTTTTACTGACGGCCTAGTTTCCCAAAGATCTGCTACGAAACCTATTTCAGAAAACTCTTCTGAAAACAATATTGATTATGAAACATGCCTCCAAGTCTCCTCTTTCGAATGGCGTAAATCGGAGCTCTCTAACTCTTTTCTATCAAAAGTTATTCAGAAAACATGCAAGTGCACCGGGTTTTCATAGAAAATCAGCTATGGCGGATCCAGTGGCAAATCTATAGGGCCAAACTTCCTAAATCTTTAAAAGAGTCTTTTCGGAAACATTAAGATTTGATGCTCGAAAGAGAGCATTGATAGGAAATTGAATATTTTGTTAGAGCTTCATATTTCAATAAATCCTGAAAGGTTTTCTGGAGATCTCCAAGAGATCCGTCGGTGATTCATAAAGGCTTTCTAGAGGCCCTCTGAAGATCTCTAGAATACACCCATTGGATGCGTTATAGTTGATTACCTGTGAATCCACTTTTTCCGCGCATAATATTTCGCGCTTTATAGGAAACTACAAATTGGATTAAAATTCCAAGGAACAAGGTCTCTTAATTGGTCTAAATAAAAAAGACAGAGCAACTTTCTCATCGTAACTTTGGACTACTACAGTAATAATATATGAAGCTAAATTTTGAAAGAAATTCATGTTGTATATCAAAAGTTATAAGTAGTCCTACTGAGAAGTGTAAACGAGTCATGTATTACGAAAATTTATACATTTCATTCTTGGCGATGTATTTCACCGCTAGTTTTAGCCAGAGAGCTGAAACTTTCAGAAGTGAAAGATCTTGATTAGATATGTTTGTGATATAAATTTCAGCTCTCTACGCCGAGAAAAGTGTAAAAGATTTCATTAGCATGAAAATATTCCAAAACTTTTTTACAAAATTTATATATTTCACTCTTGTTAATGTACTTCACCGCCAGTATTAGCTAAAGAGCTGAAACTTTCAGAAATGAAAGATCTTGATTAGATATATATGTGATAAAAATTTCAGCCCTCTACGCCGAGAAAAGGTATGAAAAATATCAAAACCAAATTTTCTTCAGTTAGTATGGGACACCCATAAGAATAGAAATTTATATGATTATTAGGGAATTTCTGTAGGAGAAGTAATATTTGGTTTAGCCAAAACATTCAAAAATTCAGCACCAGCAATTGCGATTATATACATCAGTTTGTTATATTGAGCAATAATATTCTAAATAGCAGACCAACATTTTTCTGCAACTTGTCTCGACCCGTGAAATCTTTTTCTTGCCCCGAGCTCACAAGCTAAATTTTTTCTTGTCCCAAAAGCGTGCATTTACCTAAAAGGAGCTCATTCACTATGAAAGAGCGAGTTAACTTACCAGAATCCCTTTCTTCTATCAGAGACCGTGACTGACGAACATGTTGACAATGATTTTCATTTATTAAAGCATTTGTAATATTGATATATTTCCTATCATTGCTTGTGTGTACATATAAGATAAAATAGTTGGGATCATTATACTGATATTCTTTATTATATTGTTTCATCACAGCGATCCGTGGTAATATGTATGGGTTCTGAGCATAACGTGAGATATGTTCAGGTTTCCAAAAAAGAAAATTTCCGAAAATACCAAAACTTCTCTAATGCCCTTTCAGAGACATTCATGCGCATAAACGGAAATTTCGTAGAAACTTCAGTAATTACCATAATATAAGAAAGAAATTTCCGAATTTTCAGATACATGTTAACGAAAATTCCCAGAAATTTCGGAAATTATCTCCACTTCGGCGCAGAAATCTGCTGGAAATTTCGGTAATTACTCATCCTATAGTAGGCATGCAACGGCAACGATAATTTATCGGTTTTATCGTATCTTACAGATTATCGGTTAACCGATTATCGCTGCTCACCGATTGTCGTTATCATAGTTATTTCTGCTTCTTACCGATAAAACCGATAAGTTCGTGATGCTTGCTGTGCAAAATGAAAATAGAAAAAGTGAGTTTATAGCAAGGATAAACTCATCATCCTTTTGTTTTGTTTTCTTATATCAGAGAACTAGCAAATAAGAGATACGCAGGTGTATCATGAACTGTTATATATGACTCTAGTTCAATTTATTCCTCATAACTCAGTTGGTTTTAATCCAAAATTTATAAAAGAACTACTGTAACAATTCTGTATAATTTGTGTAATTCTGTATAATTGTTGTTAGATGACTATTACATTCTTCACGTATGGCTCGACGTTCGGCCTCTTCAAAAGTTATCGAATCACCTTGTAACACCCAGCGTTTTAAATTATCTTGCAATCCATGGACGAAATGTTCACGCATAATTGCATCGCGTTCATTTACAACCATATCTGGATACGATTTTTTCACTAATTTTTCTATTGATCTTGCGTACTCACTGACGGGTTCGGATGTTGATTGTTTCAAATTGTACAACTGGTTCATATAGAGATGCTTCTTCTCTGGACTACATAGTTTTTGACGTAATGCTTGGATCACACGCGGATAAATGGTTTTATCCAATTGTCGCATATCATCATAAATATCTGCTGCTTGACCGGCTAGAAGCGCCGGAATTATTTCTGTCTTTCTGTCTACAGTCCACTGGTGCGCTACAGAACATCGGTTAAAACATTTTAACCATTCTTCAAAGTCTTCATCGTTTCTACCGCTGAATTTTGGTGGCAATAAACATGATATTAATTTCGTGTCAGTATTCATCGGACCAGATTGAAAAGGCCCGAAATCGTTACTGTGTGAATTTTCTCCTGAGTTCATTTGATTCATTACTTAACTTTGATTATTTTTAATCTCACCGCTGTCACCAAAAATGTGATGCTTTCTCCTCTCAACCAAAGAAAATCATAAAATGTGATGTTTCCTTCTCTTAACTAAAGCAAAATAATCTTGTATTTGTTTTGAAAAGTCTTACAGCTCTCTTTTTCGTGTAGCTAGGTGATTTAGTTCTAACAAGCAAATGTCACAATATTACATTCGTCAATATGGTCCATTAATTCCTAATATCAATCAATTTATTAATGTACGTACATTAATAATTCATTATCCATCATCCGATCAATTAAAACAAATAGAACCAACAATATTTAAATATTTAACGTGTCTATGCATTCAATATTCACCATGTGTTTCAAAACAATATGAACATTTATTCTCACGTCAGTTTTATTTATTAAAAAAATGTCATTTATCATATATCAATGAAATGATAACAATAATAACATCAACATCAAATATTCAATCGCTTACGATTTCCAGATGTAATAAAAACGACTTGTATCTAATCATCAAATATTTAGGACAATTAAAATATTTGTCTGTTGGTCTTATCGAAGATGCAACATTAGCAACGATAACACTAAACCATTTACCATCTATAATATCTAGAAAGTTAACTACATTAAAACTAGTAATTGATCAATATCAAATGCATTTTTATGAATTTGAATATATAGCATCTTGGGTACCAAATTTAAATTATTTATTTATTAAATCATGTTATAATGAGCATTTAGATTTTAATCGATGGCAGCATGTATTATCAGCAAAGTTATTAAAATTACTTCAATTTGATTGTTATTTTAATATAGATACAAAGCCTATAATTATTCCAGATATAAATCAAATACGCCAAAATCCGCTCTTCACTGAAATTAAATGTGACGATAGTGGAGAAGGTATTTGTTTTTATACAAATAAGAATGCAATTCCAAAATTTTATGGGTGGTAAATGATTAGAATAGATGTTAATCAGTAACAAACACTATAAAACACTTAACATTTTATGTTATATTAAGGATGAAGACTTGAACTGAATAGCATGCGTTATGATGGTGATGAATGCAAGTAACACACTATTTTTTTCAGTGAAGTTCTATTTCCCGGCAAGCTAATAAACATTTGACTATATATTGTAAAAGAGCGCACTCAATTCTACGCATTTCACATATTCGAATAATACAATCTTTCACATTGACCATATTTTTTAAGTTTCATATAGTAGGTGATTCTACACTTTTGAATAGCACTGTACATATTTATCCGAGGACGGTAGCAGTATGAAATGTCAACAGATTTATTAAATCGAGCTTTACAAACGTTGACTGAAACGTCGCTGTTGATATTCCATGGCAAAAGATGCAAATCTGTATTTTCTTCGAAACGTCGAAACCTTATTTCATTGCTAAACATTTAAACTATCGTTGCTTTGCGTCAGAGTGATGAGCGTAGGTTACTTTGAAGTAATATTTTACATGAATATGACATGATGGTAACACTTGCTAAAGTCAACTCTTGGATCAAACTAATGACGTATGCGTTATACCGTAGGAATTTGACCGACCGAACTGATATTTTACTTTTCAAATTAATGGTCTGCGTCAAAAGTCAAAAATTCGAAAAAGTCTCATTAACTTGCATAAACATATTTTTCTAACCACAAATCTCGACCGAATATCAACAATCGGGCTCTATTAGCCTCTAGCCACATGTGTCAGCTTCCCGAGCTCTCTGCGATATTTCGTTACCGAGAAATTTTAACTATTAGTTGGTAAAAATATTATTTATCGACGTTTCGAGAATACAATTCTCACCATCAAGAGAAGACACGTAACAACAAGAGCGATGTTTATCATAAAATAAAATTGAGAATATAAGTTTCACGTTAATTTAACATCCATCAACATTGCACTAGAGAAAAAAAAATAGAGATGTACGGAGTTCTTTTGAATAGAAAAATAGAAATAAAATAGATATTTATATATTGGAAGTATAAAAGAAAAAGAAGACCCTCCATGTTGTGGAAACGATAAAAGGATGAAATAAATAACTTTAACAATAAGTAAGAAGGAAAAGAATACAGAATGTTTTCTTTCGTTGAAGATGGTCCGACAGAGAAGTAAGGCAAAGAGATACGTCTAGTATAAGAAGTAAATCAATCTATGATCATTTATTTAAAAACGATCGCCTTTTATGTATAGAAATTTTTTCTTCATTATAGATTTTTACATATCGTAGTTGCTTGTTCTTGATTTTACATTAATTACAGTGAATATTGAGAAGTTAACCGATACAATTTCAAAAGGAATGGTAACGATCGGATTCACAGTGAAATAAAATTCTTACTTTTATACCTTCACCTACTCTTACATTGTAAAGTACGGGCAGGAAGAAAGTGCCGGACTTTATGACTGTGAACAAAAACAGCTTTTGTTATGCACGAATAATATAACCCATGCATGATGAAAATAAAACCCTTCGATAACATGAATTGTGGTTGGCAAATCAAAGGCGAAGCGACATAAAATATATCGAGGTCACCAATTTCTTCACATATTTTACACGGATAGTACTGATATATAGTCGCACGAAGTAGCTTCTGATTTAAAGCATCTTATTCACTGATACACAGTTCTTCTCGGTTTCTATCTTAGAGTTTCATAAATTTCTGTATCCGATGATTTTTAGAGTCTGATACATAGAGATTGAGATTAGAGTCTAAAGCAAGACCTAATGGAGAATGTAACTGTGTACTACCCAAGCCACTACTACCACCTACGATTGTTATTCCTGATAGTGAATTTGGACAGAACATTTGTACCCGATGATTTTGACTATCAGCAACATATAGATTACCATATTGATCTAATGTTATTGATGATGGTCCATTCATTAAAGTTGAATTCGAACCAGATGTGCCAGATATGCCCGCAATTATCGTGCCGTTTGAAGCACCTAAGACTAATTTCATAATTATATTGGTTCCAAAATCTGATATATAAACTGAATTATTGACTTCGTCTAAATATATTCCATACGTCATATTTAATTGTCCATTTCGCTGATCAACCACAATTGTTCCACTCGATATATTGCCAGAAGTCCATTTCATAACACGATGGTTATCACGGTCTGTCACATAAATATTCTCGTTTGAATCAACCCAAATACCGTAAATGAAACTAAACTAAAAAAACAACATCCAACATTATCTAGGTACATTTAGGCCTGTGGCATCATAGTTGTACTGCAGTTTCTCGGTAACGGGAATTGTTTTCTCAGTCCACGTTCAATGAACGGGAACGGTTTTTCAGTTTCTGTTCCTGAACTCGGAACGGTTGAACAGTTCATGTTTCTAGAAATGAGGAACGGTTCAGCAGTTCACGTTCCTAGAAATTAGGAACGATTCACAAGTTCCAGTTCCTGCTTGTGGGAACTATAGTTCTTTTTGAACTGAAAACTGCTCAGTATCCTCTAGTGATTTGTTGATACATTATGTATTTCATTTCGCAAACATAAGATTTTGAAAGAGTGAGCACTGGAAAGAGATATGCTTAAGGAGACTCCTAGATTACGTGATAGGCTTTGCTGATCGAATTTAGTTCGTTACTTCTTAAGATGTTGATCTACTACTTAAGTTCAAGAACGTACGCTGGAGAAGTTCAGTTCCTGATGTGATGTAGTAGTTATTGTCTGCTATCAGTGTAACATTTTTCATATTCTTGTTAAAAAGTATCTAGCAACACCAGCTACAAGTGTAACTAGCGAAGTACATTTTCGCAAGCTAATAATTTTACAAGGAAAAATCGACTATCACTAACTTCAGCAACAACGAGAACGTCTATGTTTTTGAAAGACAAAGTATGATTGTTGGTAGTTTTTATTAGTTTGATTGTTAGTATCTCTGTGAAATTTTACTCAGAAACAAGCACGTACAGGAACAACATCAAATAAATCGTCGTATTCATACTGAACCATAAAATGCACTAACATGTTAAAGGAGGTAGGATGATAGTAGGTTATAAAATGAAGCTCAAGTATATTATACAGTTTCCAGTTCAAAAGGAACTGTAGTTCCCCTTCGCAGGAACTGGAACTAATGAATCGCTCCTTGTTTCTAGAAGCGTGAACTGTTCAACCGTTCCTGGTTCAGGAACGGAAACTGAAAAACAGTTCCCGTTCAGAGAACGGAAACCGTGAACTGTCACAGACCTAGGTACATTATAAGTAATAATGACAAACAAGAGCCATGAACCCACTTGGTTACTCCCATTTCCACCATTACCAGTAATTCCTGCAACAGTTGTACCACTAGTCGCACTATTATTCCATAATTGTACTCGATGATTGCCCGAGTCATCAATATATAAATTTTGATTTTTCCTATCAACGTAAATAGCTGAAGGATAATATAGTTGATTTGAAGTTAATCCACTTGTACCATTGGTAAGTCCAGCGATCGTTGTGCCGGTTGAAGCACCATTCAGCCATTTTTGTATTCGATGGTTATTGTAATCAGCTACATATAAATCATTATTTAAATCAATAAATATGCCATATGGTGAATTCAGTTGATCTGACAGTACACCATTTATACCAGTTCTTCCTGCCACTGTTATTCCTGTTAAATTCCATCGAAAACTGCCTGCAAATGAGTTTTCATGTTAGAAATATCGTCCTGCTCATTGCGAAGTATATTTCTTGCATATCTCTGGAATAAACAGGGATAGAGAGTTCGGATTTTTCACAGACCAAGATACTGATTATCTTTTCATAAGAAAGTAAGTTCAAAAATCTTATTCCAAACTAGAATTTCAAAACTACCTGTGGCTAGTTTAACAATCAGCGTACTCAATTATCGGTTCCCAAATGTTAGTCAAAAAATCTACAAAAATTCTGATGCTTCACGTAGTCGTCTGGAACCGAGGTCCCGTTTAATTTCCATATTGAAGTCGACACGCTGGGTGTTCTCCTTATGGAAACAATCAATGTACTTCTATTACGCGTTTTCGAACCAAGAACGGCTTTCTAAACATCTTTTCAGAACTATAGTTCAAAATAAGACTTTTGAACTTACATTTTCTAAAGATACGACAGAATCTTGGCTTTAATCTGTAAAAAAATCCAAAGTCTCCATCTCTGTTTATTCCTGAGATATGCACGAAATAATTGATAGCATACAACTTTGAAATAGATAAGAGATGAATATTAAAGTCGAATCATCACCGCTCAGTATATAAAGTTCACATATTATAGTAGATGGGTGTTAAATCATAAGATTGTTTCCTGCACTCAGTCTCTTGTTACTCTTGTTACTACTACAGTATGTTGTTGTACTTACACGCATCAATGGTTGTTGTTATGGAAGTCATTGCAGTTGTTGTTACGGAAGTCATTGCAGTTGTTGTTACGGAAGTCATTGCAGTTGTTGTTACGGAAGTCAGTGCAGTTGTTGTTACGGAAGTCAGTGCAGTTGTGGAAGGTCCCATGTCTATAAAATAAATCAGAAATGAACTTGTCTTAATTTCGCAAGAACTTCTCTACCATTATTCTTATTTAAACTAAGTATAACTCCAAGTGAAATACTAACTGCTGTTGCCACTCCAATCAATAATAAGATACATAAACAAAAGTCCCATTGACCAAAACAATAACGACGGCCGCCAAGTTTGTCTCTAGAAAATGATCTACTCGTATCATAAATGGAGACAATTTGTTACTTACTTATCAATGGGCTTAGATTTCATTTCTGGTAACTGATTTATATCAAGTCTAATGCTTGATTTTGATCTTGTGGCCTGAAAGAATGAATTAATTAATCCTTTTTGAACATAAATTTTGCATTGTGAGATATTTTTGACAATAGCTTATAGACACTAACTGGAAACAACAATGAAGGGACAAATGTTGCAGGACGTCGACCATATTGATCAGACATTTTCGTATAGTATTAATTTCATTTCTTAAAATGAGTAATAATTTACCTTTGTTACATTTCAATGTAGGTTTCACCAGTTTGTGTATGTTTTTTTATAAAATGGAAAAGCTTAAACTTATATGGAATCGACATTATACAAAAAGAAGAAAAAATAAAAATTTTTACGTGCAAATTTTACCATTTTCAGTTCTGCCCTTCCGTATAATATACCTGTTTACATATTTATGCTGGATTAGAATCGCGTGAAGAATCTGATTATGGCCATGTTGAAGATATAAATATCAATTGATATATTCAATATATCAATTGATATTATATAAACAGGTATATTATACGGAAAGGCAGAACTGAAAATGGTAAAATTTACACGTAAAACCTGGTTCTGTTTAGATGTAAGACTATTTTCCGTTCTCAAGCCAAGTAGACTCCAGAAATAACAGTGACTAATTTCCAATTTTTTCAATAACAAAAACCCATGATGATATTTTTCACCGGCAGTGCGGTACGACTTTTTTTGCAAGCACTCTAGCGGCAAGGGAAAGCATTTTGAAAAAAATGTCAAGAGACAAAAATGTTCAGGACACATTTCTCTATCTGCTCTGATAATTTGAGAAAAATCTGTGACAGTTCATTGAGCAACTTCGTTCGTCTCTATCGTGCACTGCCTCCTATGCACAGTTTTGATTTGCAGAAAATCGCATATACAAACGGGATTTTTTAAATAAAATATTGAATTGATCCAGCCATGAACATTCGATATCTTGCACATTCTCGTGATGTGTTTCCTTGGTTTCATTAGGGCTGCCACACTACTATTACTAGTAATAAGTAATAACTAAAACGTTATTACTTATTACTTGGCAATAAGTAATAAAAGTTATTACTTTTATTTTTTATTACTCTTATTACTTTATTATTACCATCTCTTGTTTTTGTTGTAAAGTTATAAAACCAAAAAGTAATAAAAGTAATAAGCAATAAAAATTGTCATTTTTATTACTTATTACCGAGTAATAGTAATAAAAAGTAATAGTAATGTAGCTGCCCTAGTTTTCATATGGCTGGGTGTGGGTGCTTTCTTCACCCATACCCTCAAGATGCCGTTTTTATCGGATGCGAGCACTTCCTACACCCAATTCAACACCCTATGAAATGGAAACGATGAAAAGAATACTCTTATTTGGCTAGATGCTTATTACGATGAAACAGATCGTGACTATCAGATCTCTCTCAGTGAACTTTGTCATGTCACAAATGATGTTCATCCGTTCATCGATTGTGATGCTTGCATCGATTTTCTCACTGAGATCACCGATCAGACAAAGAAGGTCATATTAGTAGTTGCTGACATGTTCGCTGAAGAACTAGTACCACTCATCGAGAACGTGCCTCGACTCGATGCTATTTTAGTCTTTTGTAATAACACTTGTAAACAAGAAAAGTGGGCAAAATATCATCAAAAAGTGAAGGGTGTTTTCGCCGGAATTCGTCCTCTTGTCAAATGTCTCAAACAAATCATCGATCCCGACTCTTTTACAATGATCGATATTATCGGGCCATCAAATATTGATTGCAATCGTCTTCATTCCTCATTCATGTACTCACAGTTATTAAAAGAAATTCTTTTAAAAGTTTTAAAGTTATCTTAAACCCAATTTCTGTTCTTTAGTGATCACCTGCCATGTAATGGGCACTTGATTATAATGATCACATAATGAGCGACGGTCGACCATCAAAATGGTTAGCGTCCAATTAAAAAGTTTTTCAGAAGGTAAATCGTTGTCCGTTAGAGAATCGAAATCTATCAAACGACTTTCAGCTGTTGTAAAATAAGCCCAAATAGGGTAATTCACTAACCTGAGTCGCATGTTGATGTCAGATTTCAGTTTCCCAGCAATCTGAACTTAGATTGTACAATAACAAAACTTAGGCACCGTGTTCATAAAACCAAGATTTTTCAGAGTCTTACCATTCTGAAGTCGTATTGCTATGAAACTAAATCTGATATCACCATGCGACTCAGCTTAGTAAATTACCCTATTTGGGCCTATATTACAATAGGTGAAAGTCGTTTGATAGATTTCGATTCTCTAACGGACAACGATTTATCTTCAGAAAAACTCTAATTGGACGCTAACCATTTTGATAGTCGACCGTCGCCCATTATTTGATCATTATAATCAAGTGCCCATTAAATGGCAGGTGATCACTAAAGAACAGGAATTGGGTTTAAGATAACTTTAAAACAAGTATAGCAACGAATTTCACTTTCAACCATACTAGAGTACATGAGACACATTTGCAGTTTACTCATCGAATTCTCGCTATTTATGGCTGAAATTTTGAGACCAGATAGAGTACAACAGATAACAATTTTGTAGGTAAAGGAACAGCTCTGGAACAAATAGGTAAAGGAAATGAAGAGCGAAGAAAAATAAAATAAATCGAGAGAGAAAAGAATGAGCGATAAATATATCAGTTCATTTGAAAATGTGGGGATATTTTCAACCGATTTAATCGGCAAGCCATATCTTTCTTCCCAACGTAACAGATAGTCACAATGATCATCCGACTCATCAATGCAATTCTCCTGATCCATTTTTTGTGAGAACTATAACCTTGTGAGTGTCTCTTTCTAAGATTTCTAAGATCTGTTAGAACAGCTCTTGTCTGTACAAATCGGCGAATGACCTGTGATTTTAAAGACAGCTTTACGACTATTATCGAAATTTTAAAAGAAGGCTATCCGGCAGAACGCTTATAACTTTTTAACAAAGATAGCTAGCGACCTGCGGTTTTCACCATTTGAAAGAGAAGACCGAGGGACGTAAATGTGTGGAAAATTTGATTGATTCCATAATCGACTAGTCAGGTGAGTACTTGGTGGACATTTTGAAATCGATATTCTGAAGGCATTTCCCATTCACTTTAACTTGTAATATCACCATTCGATAGAGAAATTTGTTCTCTTTTGATCTACACAAGATCGACCTTCGTAGCTTGTTTCATTCAGGAGCCATAAGCATTTTCCTAGTAGCCCCAATTTCGGCTATTTGACCTTGAATCACCGCAAAATAGGCCGACATGGTGGTAATCGGCCACGCTGAGTCGAGTGGCGATGTTTATTTTCCGTTTCAAAGCGAGATAAAATCACGATATTAAGATTTTTAAAAATTCAACTTTTTCCTGCTAAGTGGTATGTGGAGTGGATATTTCGAAAATCTTTATATAGTGACTTTATCTCGCTTTGAAACGGAAAATAAACATCGCCACTCGACTCAGCGTGGCCGATTACCACCATATCGGCCTATTTTAAGTTTCAAAACCAGGGAGTACATAGGTCTGTGAATGAGGCAGCTCATTTTGTCGAGTGCTTACACAGCACAGGTATTTTATCTTTTGTGACTCAAAGCTACACGATTAGACTCGGTTTTTGATGGTGAATCCGAATATATCAAATTCAAAAAACTACAGTGAACGGAAGGTGACAAAATCTCAGGTTTTCTCAGAGTGATGCAAATCTTTTGTTGTTACCTAAGATACGAGAAAGAAAAAAATGACAGGAAAATCAGTTTGCAGCGAATGCAAATTGTGCACGACATTTATTTCAGGTCCGAAATCTTTGTAAGCTTTTCCAATTTCAGATATCGTAATATCAATCACCCGTAAGCAAACTCAGCTGCCTTCATTCTCATTACTCAAATCTGTACGCATTTTACTTCAAACACCTTACAGTATTTGTACTTGGGTACTGATACTGTTCTAAACTGTACATGATTTCAGTGTTCACAAATCTGCGCGTTACTGCTCTTTCCTAGTGACAGCCTGTTAATGTAATCTGAATTGGCTATTGCTGGGGGCAGAAACAATAAATCCTAAACAACACGGGGATTTCTGCCGCAGACAGCTCGACGTCTACAAATACCGTCGTATATTTTAGTGCGCATGCAGTTTCGACTGTGATTATAGCAACTTCATATTTTCAGGTCTGAGCTTTTTTGTTGCTCTGCCAGTTTGATCGCCGTTATTTCGTGCTGGTTCATCTAATCTGAAGCTACGCGGTATAGCACAGACGTGTACAGGGATAAACTTCCAACTCCACCCTGAAAGTTTTTTTCAGCCGCAGACATGCCTTCATGTCACTACTCCTTTTTGAGCACATGACAAACAGAGTTTTTTTATTTTATTGCAAACATCGTTGTGAATAGATAAGTTAAGACAAAATTATAGCAGTTCCTCGAGCCATAATATTTCTCAACTTGTCTTATAGATGCTGCAACTTTATCAATTTTCTGTTTTTATGGACTATACGTTGCGCACTCCACACAGTTTTTTTGATGATCTTAATGAGAGCAGAAGAAACTTGCACGATTCAAATCAGATACGATCTTTCACAACTTACCTTTTAAAGAACAAAACTGTGAGTAATAAACTCTCGGATCTTTAGTTTCATGCTTTTGGTTTAAGATAAGGCCGATATATGCAGGTAAAGGAAACAAAAAATGTTGCATCTTTCAACAGCAACGCATTTTACCTTTCGTTCCTCTGCGTCTTTTCAAAACTGCAAGGAGCACACATACCTTGGAGGAAATCGCTTTTTTGTGAGTTCATACAAGAATCGTGATCCTGTGTCTTGTCAACTCACAAGAAAGCGATTTCCTCCAAGGTTCTTGTGATAAAATACATGTAAAATATTTTACAAGATACTGGTGTGAAATGCCAAGAAACAAGAATCATGCAAGACTACCCACAAGAACGTTGATCAGTGCATCCTGCATATTTATTATTTTGTTTTTTTTGCTTTCCGCTCAGATACACAGTAACTGGTCTTGATGCAAATTTCAAAAATGCAACAATAAATCATAGACTATTTCGGATTGGTCGAAATTCGTCCATGGTACTGTAAAATCATAAGTGATTTTAGTTTCCCATAACCAAATTAGTGGCACCTTACATCTAATACAGTAGACAGAGATTGTTGACTTTTTATTCAAAGAAACGAGAGAAAGAAAACACAAAAATATTATCATTGTCAGCCATTTTTAGCATGCCTACATTTTAGTGGAAAAACTTTTCCGGATTTAACGGGATTGTAATTAAGCCTACGGGACGGGGTCGGGAGGTCCCCTCTCACGCGACCACAACATGCATTGAGAAGGCTAAAAAGGTTATAATTCTTGATCAGCGTGGAATTCTCTATCGAATGGCGTATAAGAAAACCAAAAATAAAATACTGCTCTAACCTGAATTAGTGCCGCCTTATGCATTCTGTTTTCTGTCCGGCATATATATAGAGCGAAAGTCCCGATCCCAATCTTTTCTCGAACCCCCTATTCCGACTCCGTCCCGTAAGCTTCATCTCGATCCAAGTTCCGTAACTCGTTTTCCTCCAGTTTCTCAGCTTTACCAAGTTTATGGCTTTGCCATCCAAACCAAAATGATACCAAACATAGTATCACTAAAATAAATAATTGAATAAAACTCATCAATATATAACTTGAACCAACCACCACATGTAAATGTTCATAAATTGTTGTTATAAAACTCAGATGAATAAACATTAATGATAAGCATAATGCCACACATGTTAAAGACATATGAATAGTAAAATATTCTTCAGTTTCTTTTGCTTTAATAAAATGGTTTCTTAATATATCATTACACATAAAAGGGCTGGGAATTGACAACACAAGAAATACCCAACCAAGTGTAATAAATATTATTGGATAATTAGTACACGATCGACAATCACGATTTGTAAACACATCTTAATAGGTAGTGAAAACAACACACATTATCATTCACGAAGACTTTTAAAATCTAGCAGTTTTAAAGTTTCAATTCACAGAAAATGTGGATTCATTTTTTTGTTGAATAAAATAAAATTCATCCAACAAAAATACGACGGCTACCTGATGAAAACTGGAAAAAGTACTTTTAATGTTTCACGAATTTCGATGATGCTTATTGAGTTAAATTTTTTCACTTTTTATATCATTTTATATCTCACAGTTATCATGTTGCATTAGTAACGATACTGGAAATTCTGTTTGAACTAAACACATTCTTGAGGTTAAACCTCGAGGTAGCTGAGACGTTCGTAAGGTGCTAATGAAAGATACTAATCCCTATCTATTGTTAGTTAAAGAATGGCTACGTATTTGAACTCACGCATCTAAATTACATAGTACTGTTCGAACAGTCACTTTTCAAGTGAAGTTTCTAAAATGCTGTTCCTAGACTAAATATAGACATTCAAGCAATATTAGTCATCTTTTGTTGGTTGCACTGTATCTTAGACACTGATATAATGCAGTTTTCAATACTGCAACACTATATTTTCATTTTCTAGTTTTACTGTACGCAAAATACTTTCTACCTCGTGAAAATGAATGATCTGTGAGATGTGAGCAATTCAAAAGCTCAGCGAAAATTAGTTTCTTCTCTTTGGCATTGCTAGATAGAGCGCATCGACTTACATCGGATGAAACTTTCCTATTCTTTCAAACCCATTTCGTTCTGGAGTTCCTCATGAGAGCTTTTTACAAAAGTTCATTTGTTTGGCCTTAAAATTCACAAACATGGAATATTCAAATTTAATTTAAGAACCAAAGAAAGAAGCTTTTGAAAAAGCTCTGAATTGGAACTGTAGCGTTTCATTCTGAATAACTTTCCTAGTTACATGTTTGCTCCAAAATATTTAGGCGGTCTTAGGTCTTCGCCTTAGATATATTATGATCAATGCCTTCTGTGTATGCTTACCCAGGTCAATGAATCTTATGCAGGACCCTGCGAGACCCTATGGGAGCCTCCAGATGATAGGATATCATAGGATTCCTATAGGAATCTCACGATTTTCCTACAAAAATCCTATCATAAGATCTCATGTGAATCTTACCATAGGATCGCAACGAAAATCGTTCTAGGATTCTTATTGTAGAATTCCTATAAAATTAGATGAAATCCTATCGTAGGATTACATAGGATGCTTATTATTTTGAAAAGAGTATGACTCCAAATGATTGAAATATTCACAAATACAACATTACATTCCCTAAATAAAGTAAAAGTGAACAAATGCGCTTTGGATGGTTTTACTTAAATAATTAATTAAGATTCGACCATAATTAAAAAGAAAAACTATTAACCTATCCAGAAACAAGGATACTGACTTTCAGAAAAGGTCTGATATGCCTTCTATTTGTATTGAAAGTATTCTTAACGTCCAGCTAATTCAAAATTGCAGTAATTATTATACATTGATGATTCGCCGCATCGAGCTGATCTCAAACATCACCCACGCAGCTCTTAAAAGCTCTTTCTTCATGGAGAAAAATGTCACCGAAAGACCTAAAAACCAACCACATCATTAAAAAAAAAATTTCTGTATATTCGGTCTGTCCAAAACGCTCTGGATGGTTTATGAAAATTTTGAAAATGTTTCCATTGAATTAGCCAGCGTGTTTAGCCTATTTGACGCCATTTCCATTAAATTTGGACGAAAAAATCGGGACCTAGTCAAAAACGACCTCACCTTTTTTCTCTTCATTCCAAAGAAAGTCGTTTTACTCCGCAAGCAAGATTACTTTCATAAACCCGCACACATACTTTTATAGCTGGTTTCACGGCGATTCTTTTTGCCTATCATTCAATCCGATAGCTCTTAACACGAAAAGATGCAGTAACAAAATGGATCATTCCGTTTTGATACGTAATGGTTCGGACGTCTATGTCGGACGAGTGTTTACCTCTGGGATGATCTAGACAACTTTTTTCTAAATCAGTTTTGACACTGAATCAAAAAAACATAGTTAGAATTTTCTAGCTTGCAATACAACTTTAAAAAACTCATTTTATGATGAAGGTTGGTTTTTGAGGCTTTTTAGGTCTTCACAGTTTTTCTCCATGAACAAACAGCTCCTTAGGAGCTGCGTTGATGATATTTGAGATCAGCTCGATGCGGCGAATCAGAATATGTATAATAAAGTCAGAAAAAAAGTTTACTGCAATTTTAAATTAGCTGCACCTTTCAAGTTTAATAAGAAACAACATCAAAGATCATTTTTAAAAAGGATATAGGAAAATATTACAAAGGATCTCGGAATGTTAGCAGAATGGATCCCGCATACAAAAAGACATTATTTGTCGTGCGATATCAATGTTAAAAAATAAAGGCACAGGAGTAAATTCTTGTATTCTGATTTGTCTGTGAAAAAAAAAGAATTTAGGGCAAAGAGCTTTTGTTACACTAAAAACAATAAATAATCAATTTAAACGTAAATTTTTAATACGATGTAGATATTTTCCACTTCCATGAATACTCTTGAGAAGTTCTTTGTTAAATCAAAGAATGAACATTAGTGTACGTATTTGGATTCATTATAATTCTCAATTCTGCGTTCAGTGCTTTTTCTTATCTGAAATCGAACGGGGAAACGGCCGATTTTTTTGGACTGATATCTACTGGCTTGAGACAGCCTTGTAATCGAAGGGAATATACGTAATCGACCACACTGCATGTGATAGCCATGTTTGTCTTGTAAAAAGAAAAAAAAAGGGTGAAATTCCACTTTTATCAAAACTGAGGTTTTAAAGCTCATTTCACTTCAAAATTTTAAAATATTCACAATTCACTCGAAAAAAACATCACAACGAGCTGAAAACAAGATCTAGGTAGGTGTGTTCATTTAACATGGTTAAAGGTCGGTAAAGCTGGTCAGTAAAGCTTTCGGTTCCCACGCCGTGAAAAATGAGATAAAAAATGAGTCATGAATGACTCATTTAGGTGCCATATATGGCTCATTTTTAAATCATATCTCTCACATATTTATCTCATTTATTGTATCATAATGTAGTCATAATTATGTCATTTTTTTATGAGATAAATATCATCTTATTATGGTCATCAAAATATGAGCTTATTATGATCCTGTTTAGATCATTTTTGGCTCATTTTAAGACCATTTTAAGACTATTTATGAGATAAGAAATGCACAGAGGAAAAAATTCGAAACAGCTCGTGCAGACATTCGAACCCTAAACCTGTAGATCAGAAGTCTACGATGCTATCCACTACATCACACGGCTATACAAATATATATGTTTTTGTTCCTTCTGTTTTGGGATTTTCACTTTGAAGTTAAAAAAACTAGTAATTTTTTATTAATTAGCCTCTAGTTTTTTCCACAAACACTGTAGAGAGTTGAGCCTAGAGACTAATAGATAGTAAACTTAATTTTTGACATTTTTTCACTTCTAGTCGCACCTTGGAAATTACTTCCTTCATGGCGAAAAACGAAAAATAAAGTTTAAAAAGGAGTTTTTACCCTGAAGAAAGGATTTTCGGGGGTCGACGTCGGAGTAAAAAATATCAGAAATTAACTTTACTATCTTTTAGTCTCTAGGCTCAACTCTGTACAGTGTTTGTGGAAAGTGGTAGAAGATAAATGCGCATAATTCCATAAAAAGTGCTACTTTCGTTCGTGTCATGATGTCCTATAAATGCCTAATCTAATACACATAAATGATATGATCTAATTATGATCATAAAATGTGACAGATATAATTGCAAGAAAATGATGATTTTAGATTAGAAGTTAAAAATGATGTAAGAATGACACATAAATGTCTCATTTTCTCTCATATATCTCATTTCCTGCGACCTGGGTTCTAACCATTAATATAACAAACATTTATATTCGTCTTTGCTTTTCTCAATCTGGCAAAAGAAGCCTTTCGCTCATGAAAAAAAACATTTTCATACTACATACATACCGATCCAGGTAGAATTCAAGTAAATCCAACGACGATTTTGACATACACTATATATATATACAGATAGTGCAATTACAGTCAAAACTCCAAATATAAAGAATATTCGTTGTGCCATCTTGCCTCGCTATACTGTCTTCTGCTAAATAAAACCAACGCGTGTGAATTCGACAGGCTTTTCTGTCTTTTGTTTCTGACTAGCATTCTGTATACGTTAACATACCCGACGACTGCAAACTATGATGACGGTCACTGGCGTGTATCATAAGATAGACAGTATCCATACAAGAATAGTGTGTGAAGAGGACAAATATATTTCTTATGTTTGTTACAGGCCAAACTAGAGTTCAGAGTTGGCTGAATTTTTTATCTGAAAGAAATGGCAAAGCTCGAATATATATATAGTTGGATTGGTCTACTTTTCCCTGTCGACGATTCCTAGAATTGATCAAAAAAAAGAGAAAAATTCTACTTTACTTAGAAGAACAGATTACATACGTGTAGTGAGAAAACAGAGATGGCACAACGAATATTATTTTTATGTGCAGTTTTGACTGTAGTTGCACTCTCTCTCTCTATATATTGTGTATATGAAGATCGACGTTGGATTTACTTCAATTCTACCTGGATCGGTATGTATGTACTACGAAAAAATTGTTTTTTTCATGACTGAGAGGGCGTCTTTTGCCAGATGGAGAAGAGCAAAGACCAATACTGGTGTTGCTTTTATTAGTGGACCCCAGCTATCCATATCTTAATTTTTTGGACTAAACAAAGATAACATTCTGTGATGAAAGATGAAACTTTGCAGATATTACCTTGAAACATTTTTATTGCGACATGTCGAAGAAAAGAGAAGTTAGTTTCTGAATGAAGAAGTGGTATTTTGCACAAAGTCTCCGAGTTTTCGTGCGTGTGTAGATCGGTGAACGGCAACTTGCCCTCAGCAAGTGCCCCCCAGACATTTGACCCTGGATTTTTACTCGACAGACATTTGCTCACAGCTCACAGTTGAACTCTTGGACATTTGCTCCTTTGACAGTTGTGCTCGGCCTATCAAAGCGGTCACTAGTTGCTTCTTGTGCGGAGCAGTTTGCTCTCAATTATTTTCATGAACCGTCAGCTTTCTATTTAATTTTCTCATCTTTTTCGATAGTAGACAGACACGTTTATAAAGTAGATCATGTTACATAATTCATTCTAATACAAGTTTCGTCATACTGGACGAAATAGAACAGAAAAAAATATTGCCGAACTAGTCGCTGTATAGCTGAAAATGAAGAAACAAGAGAAAGATAGATCTAGAGATACACGTGTACTACTTCAATTTCTCTTCTATTTTCTTTTGCAATGGTATATAATGTGTTTAGTTCAAACAGATTTTCCAGTATCGTTACTAATGCAACATGATAACTGTGAGATATAAAATGATATAAAAAGTGAAAAAGTTTAACTCAATAAGCATCATCGAAATTCGTGAAACATTAAAAGTACTTTTTCCAGTTTTCATCAGGTAGCCGTCGTATTTTTGTTGGATGAATTTTATTTTATTCAACAAAAAAATGAATCCACATTTTCTGTGAATTGAAACTTTAAAACTGCTAGATTTTAAAAGTCTTCGTGAATGATAATGTGTGTTGTTTTCACTACCTATTAAGATGTGTTTACAAATCACATCTTAATAGGTATCACATCTTAGGTTATTTGCGTTCGGCGGGGGGCTATAAATGGTAACCGTGAAATATACGAACGGTGCAAGTCGAGAAAGTAATAACCCTGAAGATAAAACTAGTACAACAAATTATTACATCCGTAATAAAGCCAACGTTATCTGGTACGAAAGTAGATACGAGAGACAATACGCTTGCCCAGCTAACAGTCTCCTTTTTTCTCCAAACAGTCCCCTGTTTTTCATAGAACTATGGCAATAAAGTTAGAAAATAATCTAAAATTCATGTAAACGATGATTAACATTGATTTGGGGAGCAGTTTGCTCTCAATTATTTTCATGAACCTTTTTATGCAGTTGTTTTAAGAAAATGCCCCGCGACATATTCTATAACACCATTCCTAAACTTTGAATTCAGAATTTGAATCAAGAAAACTACGCCGATTACACGAAAGGCGAAA